TCCTGGGATAGACCGTATGGTAGATGAACTGATAGCTAAATGCATTCCATGTCAGGCAGCAAATCATAGTCAAAGCCAAATAATGAGCCATTGAAAATGACTACACTACTAGTGGACATAATGGATTTCTGTGGTCCATTTCCTAGCGGTGAATATATTCTAGTATTAATTGACGACTACAGTGGATTTCCAGAAATTGCATTCCTTCGATCAACATCAGCACAAGCTGTAATTCCACGTGTAGATGAAATATTTGCACGTCAAGGTATACCTGAAGTGGTGAAGTCTGATAACAGTCCACCATTTAATGGACATGATTTCAGCAAATTTGCTAATCACTTGGGATTTCATCACCAGAAAGTGACACCACTGTGGCCAAGAGCAAATGGTGAAGCAGAGAGAGCAATGAGAACTGTTGAAAAGGCAGTGCATACCGCCGTAATTGAAGGCAAGAATTGGCATAAAGAAATATTCAAATTTCTACGTCAATACCGTGCTACACCACACTCCACAACTGACAAATCTCCAGCAGAATTGCTGAATGGAAGAAAACTAAGAACCACACTTCCAGAAATACAGCACCAGCATTACAAAAACAAAGATCTACAATCCAGAGATGCAATGAAGAAACAGATTATGAAAGAGTATGCTGATCAAAGAAATCATGCAAAACCGTCAGACATTCAAATAGGAGATCGTGTACTAATCAAACAAAGAAAACAAAATAAGATGTCTACGCCATTTAAGCCAGAGCTATATCAAGTTGAGCAACAGAAGGGAACAATGATAACTGCTCGTCGCGGAAATCATAAAGTCACTTGCAATAGCTCTTATTTCAAGAAACTGAAATTTAGTGAGGGAGTTATTCCAGGTGAAGAGGAGTTAGAAGAGATAGAAGAAAAAGAATTTAATTCTTCAGATGTTGAAAATGTACCATCTACTCCACCAGACATACAACCACAATCAATACGCAAATCAACCAGATTAAGACGTGAACCGGAATACCTCAAAGACTTCATAACATAAACAATAACAATGAGATCATTGACCTGATTGACACCTTTCTTCTCTCAGGGTTTTGAGTTTAAGTATGGAATTTTCTAGTACATGTAGTTACAAAAATGTAGTTAGTTATATTGTTAATGTTTAATGGTACATTCTCAGGGTTTCAAGTTCAAGTTCAAGTTCAAGTATGGAATTTCCTAGTAGTTAGTTGGTTATTTCGTTAATGTTTAACATCGTTGAATTTATGCTTCATCGTTACTACTGCAATGAATATTTGTGAGATACCTATGTTTATGAACTTATATTATAACCTCTACAAGGCAAGTTAAAGGCTACCATATAGATTATACCAGAAGTATACAAACTCTGCAATATGATTTATTCATTAACATTCATAGACTGAATATCTAAAGAGGAGATGGATGTAATGTCCAGTACAGTAGTACACATTTATATTCATGTAATTGTTATTTGTGAAGTGCGCCCTCACAGGCAATATGTAAAACAGTGTTTACGATATGGCTGCCATGTTCATGCAGTGAATAAATAAAGCTCAAGTTTGTGTTCCCACCATTGTATTAATTTCTGCCTCACGATCTTACAGTACCCATCCTCTGTGAAATCGTATCTTGTCAACAGTGCCAGCTTCACACGATCATAGTCAACTGCATCAGTGTCGGACATCCTGGAATATACTTCCAGTGCTCTACCAGTCAACAGCGCACTCAATTTTGTGGCCCATCCATTTCTATGCCAACTCGCATTCGTTGCAAACCTCTCAAACCACAATAAATAATTATCAAGTTCGTCCTTACCATCAACAAATGCAGGCAACTTTGGTGACTGTGCATCACTGACCACATTTCGTTGACCGCCAAAATCAGCCTGTTGAAACCCCGACATTGCTGCTTGCAGCTCTAATTTCCTCAACTCAAATTCTCTTTGTTTTTCTCGCTGTTCTGCTTCCATTCGCAATTTCTCTCTTTCGCCTGCTTCCGCTTCCAGTCGTAACTTTTACTTTCTTTCCTCAATCTCCATTTTCCTCACCTCTGCTTCTATTTTCATTTTTGCCTTTCTCTCTTCCCTCGCGGCTTGTCTGTCAGCCCGCTGAGAACTCAGTTGCTCCAAAATAAATTTCTTTTTGTCTTCTCCAGTCATTCCCAGTTCATCCGCCCATTCCATCAACTCTTGTTTCGACATATCTTTTATCTCGCTGGCCATGTTGTCTTCTATATGTCTTCACTGTTTCCGGACGAGCCCCCAGATGTCACACGCAACGTAATATTACCGTAATTGGTATAGTACAGGTGTGATGGTTCAAATACCAAAATGGCAACAGTAACAAAAAGACTTCCCTGGCGGCGATGATAAAATACAAACACGGAGCCAACAGATGAGGTTTCAACTGGTACTGGTATTATTATACTCTGCAAACATCAAGTACAATAACGCGGTAAAACTCCACTACTCCAATAACTAGATACTTAAACT